AGACCTTCGAGAACTTGTCGGATGATACGTTTAACATTGTTCCTTGGAATTCCTCTATAGTTGGATTTGATGATTAATTTAAGAAGATTATCTCCTAGCACTTCAAATACCATGCAAACATGCAAACCATTAACGCCACTGATCTTGAAATCATTGAGCAATTGGACGGTTTTATTGCGCTTAGGATCAGTGGGATCTGTATCGCGCACATCTTTCAATAATTTAATTTCATCCAATGCAGTTTCGGTAAAATGGGTTGCAGATTTCACCACTTTAAGTGCCACAAATCGTTTATCCTGCAGAAAATATTTCAAAACACTCCCTTTGTGAACTTAACAATCATGAAAATATTATTTGCTATGTTGTATACATACTTGTAAGTCCCAGCAGAGCCACACTGTCGAAAAATGGCCCCAGCCAAGTTTACGAGTTACATGATAACGATTTAGGAATAAATCCCCTATTTTGACGGGATGATACCCTCCTTTGCAATAATCGCTGCTATCCTCTTGCTCTTCATCTTCGCTAATGTATACCTCGTCGACGTCTTCTATTGTTTCATTACTTGAGCTATGGCATGGTTCCAGTCTATAAATTCCATTTAGAAAACGAAAAGAGGGGAAAACACCAATCAGAAAATAGAAAATTAAAAAATACTTCCAATACTTTTGTACATCTTATGAAAAGAAGGATGCAAACAGTAAAAGCATTCAAACATTGTGTTTGTCAAGCCTAAACATCCTATAAAATATTAAAGAATAGTTAGTCAGTCACTTTTATAAAACAAGCTTTTCAGAATAAAACTAATGTAGAATAATAAGACTAATTATTGGACTTTTTACAGCAGTATCTTGAACTCTTCAGGAGTGCCTCATAGGTTAAGGAACCACGATGCAATATCATTTAAATAACACTCTCCGAATCTACTTTTAATGGAAATGACTGGCCAGCTACCCTCAACGTCCCATAGTTTGTTTATACTCGTCACTCTCTACAACTAGACTTCAATTCTGTTTAAAAAAAAATACTGGTTTCGATCATGCCCTCGCAACAACAATTACTTCGCGACGAAATAACACTGTCTCCGAACGGGTTTGCATGCTCCTTATTATCCCGTAAAACCGTTCACTGAGAATATCTCATTGCCATCGAACTGTAGAAAGTAATCGACAGCGAATTCAACACTGAACTTTCTCGAACCGAATCGATTCGTTTTAATAACGAACTGTCAGCAAGAAAAGTCAACGGAAAATGAAATGACACGTTAGAGATAGTCGGTGGGTACCTGTTTCCCAGGTAGAAATCCGATCCTTGCGCTTGTCGAGCGGCTGGCGTCTTGGAGCATTGAGCTCCTGGTGTCTCTGAATCACCTTGAGAATTTCCCTTTCCTTTCCGCTTGCTCGGCTTGTGCCTTTTTTTCTTGGCCTGAATCGCTAGGACCCGCCTGTTCACGTCCGTCTTCGCACTCATACCGTTCCCTGCGCCTCGATTCCTCGGGCCGCTTTCCTCTTTCTTTTTGCACTTTCCACAACTTCCGTTTTCACTTGCCCTCGTAAATTCTTTCGTTCGCGTACCAATGGAGGCACCCGCGCCCGTTACACCTCGATCCCCAGACCGTCCGCGAACGAGTATAACGCGGCTTTATTATCGTCCGATTCCTGCGTTGTGCCGCGCACTTCGCTCGGCGGTTGTTTGAGTATGGCCGCCCCCGCCGTCACCGTGTCTCTCCGGCCTCTCGTTTTTTCGATGAAGCAGGTGTCGTCGGTGTCGTCTTCTACAGGTCGTCGACGCCGTCGTATCTTCCGTTACCCTTTTGGCTTCTACTTCTGTCTAGTGCCGGTGCCGGCAATACACTCCAATACAACCCCGAATACTATCTTCCTTTCCTCTGCGCTCCCGATTCTTTACTTTCGGACTTTCCTTCGGATTCCCTTCGTTGGTATTCGGTGTACTCGACGGTCGGTGTCCTTTTCTATGCCGTGGTAGCAGACGAGGCTCAAATTCGGCCAAAGCCCTTGTATAATAATTTTATAGTTTCTGATGCTTCTCGACTATTCCATATTTTGTCCATTGATGCGATCGCGAATATCTTCTATGTATCTGGCTTAAGGTTTCCTTTAATGGAGCTTAAAGATGTTAGCGAATACATTTATTAATTTTCCGTCAACCAATCGCGAAACAGGTTTGGTATAAAATTTATGTAATTATATGACGTGATACGTACGTGATGATCAACCTACCGCGTGTAGTGAAATGTTTCATTGGAAACACTCCATGTTAGAATTATTTCCATTTGCATCTGAACGTTTTTCTTCCGTAATGTCCAAAAAGTATTCCATAACTGCAATAAAGTACCTCTCAATCCGTTACTCTTTAAATTTTACTCACGTTATAATAACGCAATTATATCATGATGTATTTTCACTGAATTAAATAATACATCTAAAATGTACCGTAAGGCGGCGCCACTGTAGGTATAGATCGTAACAACCAATGACGTGTCTAACTATACATTATATTGTTTTGGTTATAACCAAAAAATATTTTTGTGGGTGACGTTTGGTCATAGAAATCTTTTGAGATTATTCGTCGTGAAACGACTCGATTCTTACTTAATGTTTGTATGTTTCACGTATTACGTTGAAAAAGTACTGGTAAAATGGAAACTATATTTCACGAAAAGGTAACTGATAATACGTGGGAAGAAAAATATAACGGTCTTATTGCGTTTGTGTCATGTTAACGGGAATATTTCTTGCAGCAAGAAGGATATTTATGCGCGCAACATTGTTTAAACGCTCTTTTGCAAGGTCCGTACTTTAATGCAGTGGATCTTGCTAATTTTGGTCAACAAATGGACGAAGAAGAAAGAATAAGAATGGCTGAATCTGGTATTGATAGCGAGGATTATAAACTTTTCTTAGAGGTAAATACTTCTACGTTGTAATTAGTTTGCATCTTGTGTTATACGTAATGTGAAGAACAATTGTAGTTTGTAAAACTTCTATCGAATGTAAAAACTCTATTGTGTTTACCAAACAAATGTAAATTTATAATCTTGCGTCTATATACTAAAATTCATTAATTGTTTTGCCTAGCAACCATCGGGAAATATGGATGACAGCGGATACTTCTCTGTTCAAGTTATTAGCAGTGCATTAACGGTTTGGGGATTAGAATTAGTCCCGTATAACAGTACAGAATCTGCGGCATTAGTAGCACAAAAAGATCCTTCGTAGGTTATTATTCATTCTTTCATTTTTTGATTTCATATATTTTTAAGGTACACGTGAAGTACAGTTGTTGTATATATATATATATATATTATCATTACAGTAAGTCCTTGTGTAATATGATCTCAAGTTATCTTTTCTTTAAATTTTCTTTATCCAGAGAAGTATATGTGATTATATTTAACTTCAGTTATCCTATAAAATGAAAATTGTGTGTCAAAAGTATATTCATACAATCCAACTAACGCGGAAAGCTTTGGAATGAATTAACGGCGTAAGTAGAGGACTCGCTGTAATTGAGATATTCCTTCCTGTATTGTGCATTAAAAAAGAATATATACTTTATCATTTTTCATACTTCATCTTATATTTTGTAAGAAATATATAATAAGAATAAATATGACTTTCAGACAGATGAAAGCATACATTTGTAATTACAAAGGCCATTGGTTTACAATAAGAAAAATTGGAAAACAATGGTTTAATTTAAATTCAATGCTAAATGGACCACAGCTTATATCTGACACTTACCTTGCAATGTATTTAGCTCAATTGATGCAAGAAGGTAAGTGGAATACATTAAAGACAAATAGAGATGGAAATACAAAATTTCACATTTTTTTTATAGGTTATTCTATTTTTATTGTTATTGGTACACTTCCTCAATGTCCTGCAGAAGATGTTCTTATGAGAAATCCGGTAGTGGCTGTACCAAAAGGAAACTCGAAAACTGCTTTGAGAACAGAAACAAAGGGTTATCGCCTGGGTACTAAAGAAGAAGATCAACTCTTGAAAGCTGCCCTTGCTCTAGGAGAAGTTAAAGTACCTATTGTTTCTGACTCGACGAGCACAGATGTTCCTACTGATTTAACTAATAATACGATGCCAACTACGTGTACCACAGCATCGTCGTCTAAACCAGAAGTAGCACACAAGCCACGAGAAAGGATAATTCCTATAAGAATCGAAGGAAAGGACGAAGAAGACGATGAAAAGGCAGAATTACAAAGGGCAGTTCAATTAAGTTTAGAAAGTAAAAATAACGATATTGACGAGTCTCTTAAATTGAGATTAGACCTTCGTAACGATAACAAAACAGCTCCTATAACAAATGTAACCGAGGATGCAGACGAGGATGACGATTTAAGAAGAGCTCTACAACTGAGTTTAGAATGTGTCACTGCTCCGCCAACGCCAGATCCCGAGGATTTACGTTGGCGTCGATTAAATCATTTTGGTATATATTCGAGGGCATCAAATACAGAAACATCCCAAAAACTGAATACTTAATAATACGTGCAAGAATTTTTTAAATATTACTATTATTATTATTATTATTATTATTATTATTATTATTATTAAAGCAAATTTTATTTGTAAATTATAAATAACTAGTTACTTTGTATACTATTGATAAAGATCTGAGAAATAAATGTTTAAATAAAGGACCTGTATATGTTAAAATTGCTGCTTTAATTATTATTAGATTATCAATGTTTTCTTTTTTAGTTATACCATCAAACTACATTTTGTTTTTAATTAAAAAAATTTCAGCAGGATGTTAGACACGACAAATTTTCGAACATACTTCGATATTATTGGATCAAATTATTCTGTTATGTCGTTATGTGTAATTCAGGAACATTACATGGAAAATACGTTTGCTCTTTATTTTCATGCATTTTCTAATTTTATATTTAAATCATTTTTATTAATTTCTAAACGCACATTTGTACCTTCTCGCATATAATAGGACAAGCGAGTAATTATTTCCGTTGGAATATTACCAGCAGGCTATGAACAGAGATTGTTAACTGTAGTCACTCCGTGGTTGCTCCCGTTTTGTATGTAATGCTGAATGTTGACATTCAACATGGCGGCATGTCGTCAGTGCTGTGCTGTGTCGTGGTGAGTTTTGTAAAACTTTCTAAAGCCGTTCGATTACGAGCTTTCTAACGAAACATCTACAATCAGCAGAACTATTCGTTTTCCCACAATCTTATCGATATTTTATAAGCATTCCGAGGCTCGTTAAATTTGTACGATATCCAAAGAAACGAGCGACCTCATAAAAAAATTAGAATCTCATAACTGGCGAGCAGATAGAATATTTCGAATTTTTGTTTTGAACTCGTCCTATGAAAATAAACATCGTTGCTTTGTGTTCGTTATTAGCAATAAGAAATTCCGTTGAACGATAAGGGTTTAGTTATTTACGAATGAACTTAGAATGCCTACACTATTACATATATTTCAAACATTTTCATGTGGGTGTCCTCAAGTATTGTATCACAGTTATAGCAAAGTTCGAGGAATACGTTTTAAGCGGTAAATTGACGATACTAATATCTTGATTGGTTATTTCACATCGGTACTTTCGTTCTGGGATGCGAGTGAAATCTGGAGAAATAAGTAAAGAAAAAAACATTTAGAAAACAATACCAATTGGAGTATAAAAAGTCAATGTGAAAGTGGTAGTAAATTTTTGTAAATATCTTGTTTATCTTATATGTAACCACAAATAGAACGTAATAAATATATTGTGGAGTGACTTATACATTTAAACATTGCTACCAATTTGGAGTACAAAATATGTAATAACCTGTGCATAGCGATAAAACTTGTTGTAAGAATTTATTTGTTTGCTTCGCTTAATTAAAACGAATAATACAATATGAAATTCACGAATCATATATAAAATTATATCAACTCGTATCTTACAAAATTTTATAGAGGTTAGCACTATAATAGAATACATATTTTTCAAATGACTCATCTCTTTTCAGAAATCATTTACTTACATTCGATTGACTATCTATGTAATCGAATCAATTCTTTATCGAACATATCATTATTGTAAATGTAGTTTGTTAAATTATTACTGATGCTTTTAGCAATGAAAAAGAAGCATTTATTTATGAAGTGGGTTACCTTTTTAGAACAGTTTGTTAAAAAGCTCGTAATTGTTTTACTTGTATACATGTTAATATTTAGTTGTATTAATTGAAAACAATTTTTGTTTATTTCAGCTTGTGTAATTGTTAGTTTAGGACATTTTTGAAACCAAGGCTCACTGTAAATTTCACAATTAAATGCTGAAGAAAGAAACACTAATATAGAAATATCGGAACAACACAATCACACTCAGCACGCATTGAAGACATCTGAGGATTTTCAAGTCAACATTTATCCTTTAAATCTCCTATGTTTTTTGATTTACTCCTTTTATAAAGGATGACTGTTGTTTAAAAAGAAACACGGTTATTCTAGTGTATGCTAAATTGAGTAAATATCAAACGGTTGTTATAACACTTGTGCATACATATGTGGAAAGTATCAATGGTCTACGATGTGCTAAGAATTTTGTACTTGTATTAATTCGTAAATCAACATTAACTATATTGTTCATTTGTATATTGTGTACACAAGCTTTGCGAGAAAGAGTTAGGTGAGCCATAAAGTGACCGTGATAGTGATTGCGGCTGAGATTGTGCTACTCTCGATTAATAAAACACGTGTATTTGTATCTAAAGAGTGCCAATTTCGCACAGAGTTGCCCAGGTACTCGCCGATAAATAATTTATGTCAAACGTTAGAATACGTTCGAAACCTTCCTTCCACTTCTTGGTCGCAAAGGAGTCTGCATTTGCGCAGCATTTTAAAGAGCCTCTCTTCCTCCGTATTAAGTTCTTGTAACATTATAATAGTGAACAAAGATATAAAGTACCAAGAACCGTTCTGTGATATCTATGTTAACACTTAAATAATTGAAAAGACTAAAAATTTCTAAATATAAGTATATATATATTGTGGTGAAACGGAAGTGAACATAAAAGAAATTAAGTAATTGTTTCAAGACAAAAGGAAAACTTATACATAAAGATTACATTTAAAATTGTGCAAATTCGAAACAATGTCCAACAATCCTCAGTGGAAAACGTTCCAGCCGCCAATCATGAACTCTGACCCTGCAATACTTGATTATAAGTCTATGGCTATACCGAGTCCCAAAGCTATAACGGGATCGCATAAATCGGCAACTAATATCTACCGAAATGGTACCAACTACAGTGGTGATCATTATATGACGGATTCACCTTCTAGAAATGGAAAAAACAGTATACACTACGCAGGCTATACCAATACCCAAACATCACGTAACGAAGTCACCAGATTTCCCTTCGGAACGATTACGGGAACGGAAGGAAATGCTGGCTACACAGAGGAACCAGCAACGAATAACTCCACTTATCAGGATCAGTCTTCAAACCAAGGAACTCGAGAAACTGGAATAATTGAAAAATTATTAGTAAGAATTCTATTGCCATTGTAAATCTTATATTTTTCTCTTTACATTTTATAATTATAATTTATCGAAATTTTTGTTTAGCACTCATATGGATTTATACAGTGCTGCGAAAGACAAGCAAGGTTGTTCTTTCATTTCAGCCAATTTAGTGGTAACATAGAACACTTAAAAATTGGAGATCCAGTTGAATTTGAAATGACTTATGATCGGCGAACAGGGAAACCTATTGCTAGTACAGTTAGCAAGATTTCTCCGGAAGGGGTTAATATAATTCATATTCCTTTTTATGTTTCGGGAATAATGTTTCGAAATAAGTACAAAATCCATGAATCTTATACTTTAGGTGCTAAGCGATGAACGAGTTACTGGAAATGTAACAACAGAGTTACATGCAAGCGGTGACTCTCAAGGACGCATCAGTTACGAGAATCGGGGAGAATGTTTTTTTCTGCCATATACAAAAGATGATGTTGAAGGAAATGTCACTTTGCGTACTGGCGATAGAGTATCATTTCAAATTGCTACCAATCAACGGTATGCAATTTGATTTTTTTTTTTTTACTGTAAATATCAAGATCCAATTACACGTAGTTAACGCGTCGAATTCGATTTGATTGCAGCGGAAATTTGGGTGCGTGTCATGTAAGATTAGAAAATCCAGCGCATCCGGTTCGCTATCGTGGAGTGGTATGCTCAATGAAAGAAAATTTCGGTTTCATTGAACGTGCTGACGTAGTTAAAGAGATTTTCTTCCACTTTAGCGAAGCTAAATCTATGAAAGAGGAACTTAGACTAGGAGATGATGTTGAATTTATAATACAAACCCGAAATGTAAAGATATATATTTATTCACATGAAAAAAAAAAACTTTTGTATGTTCTATGTACAAATCTAATTACTGTTAACATTTTTTTAGGGAAAAGAGGTAGCTTGTAACATTACTAAGTTACCGCCTGGTTCAATCGTTTTTGAAGAAGTCAGCAACGAAGTAGTAAAAGGACAAGTATTAAAGCCTCTGGAAAGAGGAATTTCAGCTCGTCATCAAAATGACCCATTACCTGGAAGAATTCGTTACAGAGATACAGATCATTCTGAAGTAGAAATTCCTTTTGGCGACAAAGATCAAAAGGGAGATTTTACTCTCAGGTATACGCGTTTCGAGTGAACAAGATAACTTTGTCATTTTAATTATTTCCAATGCTACTTAATCAGTTGTGTACTTGGTATATGAACCATTTTTCTTTGTTTTTTTATTTTACACAGGAATAATTATAAATTAATAAATGTCGTAGGCACGGGGATTGGGTCCAATTTCGTATTGCTACAGATACTAGAGATCAGCTCAAGAGAGCTACTGAAATTTTATTGTTACCTGAATCTTTTACTGTGTCTGGTGAAAGACGAGAACAAGGCATTATTGCTGCACTCAAAGATGGATTTGGTTTTATTCGTTGCGTTGATCGTGACGCGCGTCTTTTCTTTCATTTCAACGAGGTTCTCGATGTTGACAGAGAAATTAGTGTCGGGGATGAAGTTGAATTCACCGTAATTCAAGTAAGAATGATACTGTTCGAAACTGTATTTGAATTTTTCAAGTGTATCGTAATTAAATATTCTTGTAACAGGATCCTTCCTCGTCATTTTCAAATAATCGACAAAGTGCAATTAGGTTGAAACACTTGCCAGCCGGTACAGTTCAATTCGAAACAATTATAGAAAAAGATTTATTGGGTACTATAATTCAGGGTTTGAATGGTATCGAACCTGGTCTCATTGGATACATGCAAGAGAATCAACAAAAGAGCGTCATTTACTTTAGTAAAGATTGCGATCCCAAAAATGTTCCAAGATTAGGTGACCTGGTATATTAACATTTCTTTGTAACGCTGAGTCTTTTTTTCAGTACATTTCCATTTAAATTGAGAATCTTTGTAGGTTCAATTTAGTATCTGTCAAGTAAAACGAAATAAAGAACTTGTTGCTGTCGACATATCTCTAGTGAATTCTTCTGGTGAAAAAACTCAGAATGGAAACAAAAAATTGAATGGTCAAGTTTGCCAAGGCTTCATTGCTGCTCTCAAAGATGCATTTGGTTTTATTGAGACTGTAAATCACGATAAAGAAATATTTTTTCACTTCAGGTAAAAGACTGAAATGTTTCTGAAAAATGAATTTTCGTTTACTATAAATTCGTAACACGTACATTTATTGTTCAGCAATTTTGAAGGAGACGTTAGTGCTTTGGAAGTAGGAGCTGATATTGAGTGTACGATCAGTTCTGGAAATGGTAGAGGTAATGGTGGTTGCGTAGCCGCGGATTATGTTAAATTGGTACCTCGTGGAAGCATTCCTAGGCCAACACCAGTTAGCGAAGTGCTTGATGGAACAGTCATAAGACCCTTAAGAAGTGCAAATCCTGACCAGGCAGAGTATGCTGGTTTGATTAAGATAAATGCTACTACCGAAGATGAAGAAACTCCGGAATACGAGTTCAGAATTATGGGCCTCGTCAATAAACGCGAGTTGTTACAGGCTGGCGATCCTGTACAATTACAGGTGGATTCAGCAGGCCATGCTTGTAATATTGTAGCGGTTAGAAAAAAGAGAAGAGCAACAGTGGATGCCGTTAAAGGCCTTTTTGGTTTCCTTGCTTATGAAGTTGACGAGGGTAAGAAATTATTCTTCCACATGAGCGAAGTTCGAGATCATGCAATACTTCAACCAGGAGATCAAGTTGAATTCGTTTTGATCACGAATCAACGTACTGGTAAATCATCTGCATGCAATGTAACAAGACTCAGGTAAATGTTTATGTTAGTTATACAATATTTTTCCAGCAACTACACTTCGATCGATTAATCGATTAATGTTATCGTACCTTATTTGTTATATAGCGATGCAGTTCAACAACGACCCGAGCGCTTAATCAGTCGGTTACGTACTACGTCTGTGGAAGATACAGGTCCTAAATTAACAGTAGTTAGACAACCAAAAGGGCCAGACGGCACGCGCGGATTTAGTCAGGAAAGATCCCAGCATACCCCTGGTGCCATCCAAGAGTAATGTCGTATCGAAACGGTTACTGCTTATCCAAATTGTAATCTACATTACTTGTTTTTAGTCCATACACTTCGGTACCGAGATTATTATTATTATAAGCATGATCGTAAAACATTTGCCAAATTGAGACTAATGTGACAACAATAATAATATTGATAATAATCAATCAATTGGATTATAATCTTGTTGAGAAAAAGAAGAATATAAAGCAAACAACGAGTCATTTTATCATCTTATGGAATATAAAATTAATTAAGAAGGCAGCTTGTCTAAAGTAATGACTTTGTGTAAAAGAAAAAATATGCTGGAAACCTCGTTTCTTTTGCAAACCAACGTACGAGAAACCTTTTAATTATTGTGAAATATTGAAACTTTTAAATACTATACTTTTACAATGAAGGTTTAGAATTTTACAATTTAGTTCGTTATAAATACGATTTATAGATTGGAAAATGATTTAATATTGACCCATTGACATCCTGCCTGTTTGTAATGTTCAAAGATAATGTCCCGTCTCTGTCTTTATAAAAATATACGTACATGTTGATACAATCTTTATTTATATTATTTTCTTTAGAGTATTTGTTTTACCTATTATGTACACCACGATGAATTTAAATGTACAATAGACAAGAATGAAGTCACATGCGAAACGCAGCATATATATATATATAAAAAAATATTGATTGGCCGTATAATCAAAAAGGAAAGAAAAGATACATCCGCATCACTCAATGAAATTTGTGAATTTAAATAATTTTATAGTAGAAAGAGCGGACATGCGTTTTATTACATGAATTATTGTAACGTGTCACTCTGTTGAACAAAAAATGTCTATGAATTTGTAAAAAAAAAGTTAACAACTGGCCAATTGTTTGTCCTAGATAATATATAATATATAAATATATATACATGTCGTTAAGTTCCTGATGCAGTCTCGTGTTGTAAAATCAAACTAGTATTACGGATTCAGTCGATATATAATACAAAAATTACAAAAAAGTACTTATCCGAAGAGTAAAAGAATTGCATTTTATAAGTTTTGTCATCAGAAACAGCAAACGAGGTACACACGTGTCATTATGTAGGAATAGGTGAAAGGAGTAAATAATAACAAAGTGCGTAACACAAGCACGATACAAACTATGCGTTTGTCTGACAACTCATGGATCCAACACATCATGTGCATACATATTGTAAAATTATTGATGAATAAACAGTAAAAATATCAAATGTATCTTTTTCCTATGAATCTCGGAATTTTTTAAAAACAATTATGTTTTGTTTATAAATATTATTTCTAGCATTTGTCATACGTCTGTGTCAAAAATTTGCGACAGACGAGAAGAGTTACAAATAGCGATCAATGGGAATTTTACGATATATACAATATACTTATTATGTATGTACAAAGATGTGAAAATTCTCGCAAAACGTGTTTATTTTTTTGTATTTAACATGCTGAGTGTATTTGATTTTGCATAGATGATATTAAAAAAATAAACTTGTAAATTAGATTACAACGCATTCATAGGGGAACGATCCTCGGAGGCGCAGCTGACTTAATCCTGGGCAAACTGAAAAACGTAATCATTTCATTACAAAACAAAAATGTTCAACGAGTGCTTTCTACGTACTATACACGTTAAATTTTATTTTGTCGTTTAACTCTAATTGTAGGTACCATATTCTTGTATGTACTAATAGGGAATTGGGAATATTGTGTTCGAAATTATTTAGGGAATTGAATGTAACCAACTATGAGCCTGCAAAGTCGTAAATATAAGTATCTTTCATTAACGACAATGGTTACTAACGTTTATCGCAATGTGGTCCATAATAACCAGTTCCCTCGCAGCGACATTTAAATCCAGGTTCCGAGGATATTTGCAAGCAAGATCCTCCATTCAAGCAAGGCTTCAATCTATAGCATATGTCGCTACGTTTACCTATATAAAGAAACAAGAACGTTATAACTATGGAAATAAAATACTCTTCTAATACGTGGCGTGTATACAATTTAAGACTTTGATTATGCAACATGTGTAAGTAATTACCTCTTAGGGCTTCTTTGCAGTCCTCGTTATTATTATATCTATACTCGGAGGAACAGCCATAACCGCATCTGCATTGCGCATTATAAATACGACATCCATATTGCATCTGATCCAAATCGCAGGCCTGTGACAACGTACTTATCGCTAAAATAAAGTAATAATATATTTTAATACATCGATATAATACAGCAATCGATCATCGAGGCATTCGTAAGCAATGTATTTCGGTATTGTTATTGTGAACCTAAAAACATGAAAAATTCCGAGAAAGAATTGCGTTCGAAAATTTTCTGCAACGTCTGCAACCGAGCGTTCCATGCGCGGTGAAGCTATCTGCAGTTTATTTACCCTGAAGAGATAACGCTACGAGGAAACACGCTGACGGAGGAACTATTTGTACCGGATGTGTCCACTGCGCATCCCACTTCTCTAAATTGATAAATGTTTAACGAGATAAACCGTGGCTTGCGTGGGTTAATTAATTTTTGGTCGTGAAATGTTTATTACCGCCATATTTATAGACTGTTTCGCACGCGCTACTATTTAAACTTTTTAGCCTCTTTCCTTCATAACCACATACCGTTGAATCGTTTGTTACAAACGATATTATGGGAGATGGAACGGGAACGTCGGGCACTTCGTTAAAACGTACATTCATCGAAAGTGCACTTCATTATCGTGCCACTTTATCTCACTACTCGGTGAATGAACCGATACGTTTCTTCCGAGGGAAGATTTATATATGCCAAACAACGTAACGGAAATTATCTATCGCCTATCGAGCAATGATTAATAGTCGCTTAACGTTTAAAAAATTATCTACTCTCGCGATGTTAATTTAAAGCTTTCCATATTCGTTAATTTACGTATTTCTAACTTAATCTTTTCACCGCTTAATTCGTTTCCTTTATAATTTTAAGTGAAACGAAAAACCGATAGATCTCGCGTGATTGACCACGCGACAGCCAAAATGCTCGATATATTAATTTATTATTAATGTTAACGTTTTCATTTTTAAATAAATCGCAACGTAAATTGTTAGTAACCATAAGCAGCAGGAGATATCGAATAAGTAATTTTTTTTTAAGAAACTTTGTACTATTTAAATTAAAAAAAAAAAGAGAGGACAATAGAACTCGAAGAATGATGGAGTTAAAGATATTTGACCGCGAGTTCATACCTATAATTACGAGTGGTAGAATTATTGGTAATACCAATCTCGGTAGCATGATGGGCCTAAGGAAACCTCACACAAGATCCGGACGAGAAGTTCTGATAACGATAATCCTCCTAATCGCAGAGGAGCTCGAAGAAGACAATCGACCAGCGACGCCTACGGATAGGCTTTTGCTCGAACTCGACGGGGTCAAAGGTTGGTCGTCAAAAGGGGGTTTGTCTCACAGATGCACTATCGCGAGGATAAAATTCGTGCTCCTCCCTGTCGACGAGCAACGATACTCGCTGACCGCGCTGACCAAACTGAAGAACTGAACCGTACGCTCTGGGCAACTAGAGGCGACCAAGTCGACTGCCCCTCGACGACTGTTCACTAAATACAGGCTAACGAGCTTAGCTAGGATGTCACCACAGTCCAAGAAATTATGCGTGGGGCGTTAATCGGCCATGGACATCAACTACGCAGCGTTAACATTTTTAAGAGATCCCGTAGGATCGTCGTTTTCCTCTATTTTCTTCTATTCGTGTACATGATCAAATACCAATGTAAATTATTATTATCGAAAGGATATTTCGAGTAATAACAAAATTCGTCGTCGTAAATAGAGCATCAATACTTTAATTTATGATTTTATATTGTACTTTATTCTCAGTATACTTGTATACTTTATACGTAATCATTTCTTTTGGAATTTTCAATATTTCTGGGTTTCTTCAATAACACCAAAACACTAAGATCTATTTTTAAGCTGTAGATTTTCTCTGAATAGATCCCATGGTTGGTAAAAGGTCCTTATAGTTTTAGAGATACAGTGTGACTTGCGTCCGTATTATCTTAGTTTTGTTAATAGCGATGAGTTAAGTGTGCGTTTGAAACTTTTTCTGTCAATTTGACGTAAATAGGTACGTTGAAAATTAAGTATCCATATTATCACATATTAAAGTTCAATAACATTTGACACTACGGTCGCCATCCCGGAAGTAGATGTAGCGCACATCGCGGCGCGTGCACTATTTGTGCAGTTGTCTCATAAAAATTGTTTCCGAGATACTGGTGACCGGATTTAAATGTGTAATTATCGTATCGCTGCGGAATCAAGAATTGGGTCAAGGCGGTATATTACTTATAATAATAATTTATTGAAGGAAACATAATAATCTTTAAACGTTCAGATTCTTGGACGGATTATGACAATTTTTAAGGCACTTTGTTTACGTTATATAACTAAATTCGAGTATCAATATTGCGAATATTTAACAAATACTTTACAAACTTAACCTGAAGTTCGAATATAATGCATGTATCTTCGATCACAAATCCTTTTTACGATGACTGATCGATTTATTTATATTCTAAAAAGTAATATTTATGTAAAATATAATCGCGTATAAAATATATAGTTACTAGCGTAATTATCGTTAGTACCTTACATGAATGTTTGGTCATGTTGTTCGTGAATCATTGTTGCTCTTCGAGACTGGACCATACCGCTTTGTCTATTATATAATTCTCGTACCAAGTTGTCCTTCTCTTGTTCGAGAATCGCTATCCGTTGGCTCTTTTTACTAACTTCCTGTTTCACAATTATTATAGATAAATTCACTCCATTTTCCGTACATATGTGTACACGTTGCTTTTTTTTTTATGTTATCTTACTTCTGTTAATCTATGATTTTGTTGCTTTAGCCTAGACAGCATATCCTGTTGAAGCTGCGTAGACGTCGGTGTACTAAGAAAGGCGAGATTCATATGAAGAGGCAATCCACCGCGTTCCCAGCTGCTTATTAATGCAGCTAAATGTCTATTAACTTCTAGTACTCGAGCACGTTGTAGTTCCAAACGTTCTTGCTGCGCTTCTGTCCACTGCTCCTAGAGAAAAGAAATATATTGTTAGTACAATATATCTAACGCAATATCGAAAAAATACGAATGAAAAAATCAATACCACGTGAGACCCCATACGCCCAAGATGTTTAATTTTTTCTTGAGTGGCAGAAATTTGTTTCAAATACCATTCCCTAGCTTTATCAACTGCAGTTAGACCTTGAAGCAATACATCTTTCTCTTGCTCAATTTGTTTCATTCTCTTCATCTAAAAATGAAAACAATACTAAATAGCTTCTTTTAGCAAAGGCTTAAACACAGGCTTCCCAACTATGTAATCTATAAGAATGTCATATAAAATTCTGTTATATTACAAGTTAGGCAGTATTTAATCCTTTGACTGCATACATATGCATTTGGCAAGTTGCTGCTCGCTAATGAACTTACTTTTACTGCTGCTCATTTGTTTGAATATCAATACTAATGCTAGTTTATCGGTACAGCAGTCAAAGGGTTAATGGATATTGCATAATTATCTTCTATGTTAATAGTCACTAAATATCATGCATACCCAAAACCAATCACCAATCATTAGTTGGGAATCCTAGAGGAGAACATCTTTACCATATTGTAATCAATACCATTCTGCAACGTATGACGTCTAGGTTCTCTACGTCGATTTAATGTTTTTTTAGATTGAAGGCCAACTTGATTATTTTGTAAATCCACTGCTTTACCATCTCCCAATACTCGAGTTGGTCTCAATAATGTTCTAGTATCTGTTCTATAGTTTACTGCTGGTAACTGTCGTTTGTCTACAGTTTTATCATCGTTCATTAATAAACCCATTTGCCAATTTTGTAACACAGTTCGAATTTCAGATTTGTCAAAATTTCTGTCTAAATTAATAGTCCTAGCTTCTAATGCAGCACCTGTTCTTGGAGGTTTCGGAGGTCCATACACTTTATTCAACTTTGATTCAGCACCAATTCTGTTGTCCATAGATTCTAATTGACTGCCACCATCTTTTCGACCTGCTAATAACTGTGGCATACTTAAAGTACGTTGCTGAGACATAGCATTATTCGGCCTTATAGTTGCTGTATTCGGAGATATCCATGTTGTTTTACTTTGACTATCTGGAATAAGAATTGGCGCGGATGGTGGTCTGTTCGGTTGACCATCATGTTTTTTGGGATCAGATTCTGTTTGGATTTGTAACAAGCAAATCTTAAGCCCTGTGCAGAACCTTTCAAAAGATAGCAAACCATTTGATGGTGTAACTTTTTTCAGACTTTCTAAAACACCTTTTGGAAGACCTTGAGTTCCATCATCTTGCCATCTACCCTCGATATCCGAAAACTTGACAAATCCTGTATTTTGATCATCCATTATATCGAACAGCGTACGCATGGCAGCAACAAAATGTTTTGGCAGCCCATCAGCACCCGAAGTTTGTATTTGAGCCATGTTATGCACACGTGTGTCTAAAGTATAATTATTAAGGCGACATATATATTAACCGAATATTCCTAATTCATAAATTATCTTCCTGGCGATGGAAGATACTTCATTCTTTTTCTCACGAATCTTTCGTTGACGCAATCATTGTTTAATTCGCTTGACAAGTGTCCCCTTTTTAACACATTTGTGAATACGTGTTATCGAGTTATCGATAGAATTGCATTTGTCAGATTTGACTACGTTTAATGCTATTCGAATACATTTTAGTTTTTCATTCTTGGTAATGAAGTTTAACTTGGTTTTTAAATAACCTCTTCAAGTCGTTAATTACTGTAACCAAATAACATAATCACATCAAACGAAACAGGTATGAAGATACCTAGAAAGTACTACATATAGCTTTCATCCAGAAAAGTCACCGTTCATTAAGCCGCTCAGTGAGCTGTACTAGTGGGGTCATCCGTGGAAAAAGGCCCAAGTTTGTAGTGAAAATAGTTTTCATTATTGTCGCTAGATAGCGTACTAATTAAAGAGTCGATAATTATTACAGAATTAAATAATTATTCATAAAATTGATAAATTTGACATCATTACACATCCTCTAACCTTTTTATTATTTCATACATTTATTATTTAATTTTATTTTAAGTTAATTATAAGGAAAATTTGATTGTAACGGAATTATTTCTATTCATGACGATAGATGGCTTCACTGTCTCCTATTTATACGCTGACACTTGAGTTATTAATAATTCTGTTATTCTTTACATATGTACATAGTTTTACTACCATTCCTATCAGTTCTTGTTGTTTAGAATTTATTTGCGCGTTCTAACAAACTACTTTGTACAAAATTCCTTCTTATAATAATCCGTTTCAAATATTGCCGCGCTTTACATTGATTCTCCGCTGTTTTTCCATTGTCTCTCTTACTTTTTTTAATTTATTAACATACAAAAATATTTGGTACATACACCTGACAAGAGTTTCACAATTCCATTTTGCGGTATTACTTTTCTAAACAGAACATGGGCGTAGCAGGAATTTCGGAAACGTATATCGAGTGTACGCACCATGTAGGGTTGCATAGCCTATGGGTGTACAGTGTTACAGTGCCTGTACAGTTGGGACAACAGGAAATATGGCGGCATTCCGCCGAGTACGAAGGTGAACCGCCGTATACCACGTTTGTTTGCGACGAACGTTCGATCATACGGTAGAGTCAACATTGTAATGAGAGTGTACGATGTCGTGTGATAACATGTGCAGTGTTTTGTGACGAAAATAACAGCCCGTCGTGGCTGAATCGGATTCTTTGGCGTTGGATTATCGTATCACGGGACACGTAAATTGGCAGTGCCCTCGAGGTGGCAGGTACGTAACTCGTAAAAGCACGTATTAAACGCGACGAAACGTTCCCGTCGCGCCCTATCACCCATTATTTACGAATCGGATCTTTCCAGAACCGTTCTATCATTTGTAAATCGTGTTATCAAGCGACACTCGCGTTATTGTTGTCCAATATCGCGAACGGTTTACGACCTCGATCGGGTGTGTTCCCTGTTGTCATCAACAGGACATTGACTCGTAGGATGTTGCCCTGTTTTGACCTTCCCCTTTCCCGTACTAAAATAGAA